TCGTGTTAATTCGCTCTTGCCGAAGAAAGTACCGAAAATGGTTGTGAAAAGGGAACGTTTTCAGCAATTTTTCTGATTCAATTTTTCGTTGACAAAACGTACTGGGGAACTATGCTTAAAAGCGAAATGAGCTGCTGAAGGTAGTTATAATAAAAATCAAAATTTGTGATTTTCTGACACCATGTTGAAGTTTGATCAAACCGTTGCGTTATGTATGGAAAGTTTAAAGAATTTGCCCGCACCACGAGTCTTAAGTTTTATAAAAGTGTGCCTAAAATCGGATTTCACAGCCTTTTTCTACATCATTTGTAGGTTCAAAATCCATCGAGATCAAAATCGCAGCTGATCCTTTTTTCGAGATATTCACATTTTTATATTTTACTTCTTAAACGGAATAAATCTTGTTTTTAACTAAGATTTATCATTTTATCGATGCAGGAATAGTATAAAAAATTTATTTAAAGGTCATTATATATATATTTGAATAAAACGCAACCATAGGGCTTATAATATTAAGAACTGTTTTGAAGTTAATGCCTGCAAAATTCGTGCTTTATTTTTGTTTCATTTTCGACTCCCAGAGGGCGTGTGGAAAATCAACGACAAAATAATAATCATACTAAACCTATTAATTAGAGAAAGAAAAACCTTCTCAATATCTTGATGTTTTTTTTTTTTGAGAGTAGTTGGCATTTTACTGTCGTTTTGCTGTCGTTTGCAGATAATTTTCAAAATGAGCCATCCAGCTAATAAATGTTCTCTGGGGTTAATAGGCCGGCTAGTTTTTTGATAAATTCCCGCATTGAAATTCTAATTAAAAGATTTCTACTAGAAGATTTTGATGTGAGTAATGAAACTTTTCCTAAAAGTATATGTAAAACGTGTCGCATTACTCTACTCGATGCTGAAAAGAGTATTTTTAAAAGGCCTCTTCAGAAAATGCCAAATTATAAAGATTTAGTACTACCGAAAAACACTCGGGTAGCAAAAGACACTTGTATTTGTTACATATGTCTACGTGGCTGATTTAAGGGTCACCAAAATCTAATAACAGGAAGAGGCAGGAAAAGAAGTTTCGGCAACGCAATAAATGCATCCAATGGACTATATGGATCTTCAAAAACTCAGCAGCTTCCAGTTTCTTCAGTAGAAAAGAATAAATCAAAAGAGTCCATTATTAAGCTTTGTAGTAGGTGCTTTCAGGCGATTGGTAAAGGAAAAAGTCACATTTGTAAGAATGTTAAGGAAAGCTTCCTGATAAAAAGCAAGAGAAAACTGTGGCTACTATGCTTAAAAATAAAGCTAAGTCCGAAATTCATAATGTTGCGCAACTAAAGAACATCATTTTAAATCCTAGTGAAAACAAGAGAGTTCTTTTCACCGAAGAAAATTTAGATAGTTTGCGAGTTAGTGTTGGAGTTTCGTGTAATGACATGAGAAAAATTAAAAATTTTCTAAGATGTAATGTTGTAAGAAAGTCTGTTCCGGAAATTACGTCGGTCATATGTCAGAGAAGTCAAAAACCTTGAACGATATGTATAAGAAAGTTTACGTTTCTTGCACACACTTCCACCCTCAGAATAAAGTGATTTTTTGCGACCATATTCATTCAAATCCTTTGCATTTAAGTTGATATTGTCATCATCATCATTATCACTGTGTATTCTGTATCGTGTGATGATGGGATTGATGAATAATTTTCAGGAAGTATAGTCAAGCTTATTTTAAAAAAGCCTTGGCCTCCATCAGCCATGAATTTGACAATGATGTTTCCTTGCACATTTCCTTTCTCTATGATTGCATCAAAAATGCTGAAGATTCGCATACACGACTGGTCGTTTGTTTTTGACAGGCTCATTTTCACACTCAAATTCATATATACAATGATCTGAATTCTGAATGATCCAGAAATTTACAACAATGTGGATGTTTTTAAAATTATACCTTTCATTGCTGCTTTTAACGCAATGGATAAGATTGTTAATTGTTGTTTCATTTCTGGCAAAGTTGGCCCTTCACTAGACAAGTACATAAATGAATTGGATATAGCTTTACAAAGCATTGGTAACGTGTCCAAAACATTAAAAATACATGTTATTCTTGCACATGTTAGAGAAGGTTTGAAGTACATAGATAATAATAACGGCTATGGATCTTTGAACTTTATGAACTTTTCAAAGCAGCAGTTGAATTCTCTTCGCTCCATATTTAATACTCTAGGTTTTTTTAATTTAAACTTTATAATTTGAGTTCCAGTCACTCGGCACGTAATATTAATTCATATTTCAATTTTATTTTATTTAAACTTTATAATTTGAATTCCAGACACTCCATATATAAAATATTTATTGAATATTTTGATTTTAGTCCATGTAAACCATAGAGGCATAAAAGGAAGAAAAAAAAACAAGAAAAAAAATAAAAAACGTAATAAAAAAATGAAAAATAAAATTAAAAAATTGGACCATATAACCACTACGTTCCCGTCGTTGGTCCTGAGTAACGCTGAACGTGGTTTATATAACTCCCTTTTATACATCAAGCTTTTTTAACGTAACCTATGTATGGTAGCGTCTAATTCAAATATGAAATATATACATACATATGTATATGTAATATATGTATGTATATATGTATATATACAAATATGTATATAATATGCTGTACATAAAATTATTTATACGATTCCTGCATTGATAAAATGATAAATTTTAGTTAAAAACAAGGTTTATTCCGTTTAAAAAGTAAAATATAAAAATGTTAATATCTTGAAAAACGGATCAGCTGCGATTTTGATCTCGATAGATTTTGAACCTACAAATGATGTAGAAAAAGGCTGTGAAAGTCGATTTTAGGCACACTTTTATAAAACTTAAGACTGGTTTAAGACCACCGTAAGCCACTAACGGCACCCCACTTTGGGAAAGCCTGGAATAGATAGAAAGATTGCGTTGACATCTTTACTTCCTTACTAATATTATAAATCCGAAAGTGAGTTTGTTTGTTATTGTTACACTTTCACGCTTTAACTATTTACTCAACCGATTCCTATTTAATTTTTTACACTGGTGCCATTTAGCCCAACTTAAAATATAGGCTAGGTTTAATCTCGATTATACGAGGGGGCATGGCACCTCCCATAAAACGGAATTTTCATACCGCGTATCATATGTATATCAGAAAATGTTTTTGATAGAGTACAGGAACTTGGTGTAGATTCATATATGTATGCATATAAAATCAATTCCATACTCATAGAGGAGGGCTGACACCTGTTTTAAAAAATTAAATTCGACTTGAATTAAGGGAATTATTTATTTGAAAATTATATTAAAGAATGGATGAAAAGAGGCTTCAAAAGTTGTAGTTTGAAAGTATTTTGGAAAAGGTTAATATATGGGCGTCAAATGAAAGATTGCTATGAAACCTTCAGATTGAACATTTTAATAGAGTTTTAGTAGGAAAATATTTCGAAGAGGGTTGCCACCTGTTTTAAAAGTCGAGTTTAAATTAGAAAGGGTTAGCTTGGACATGTAGAGTTTTCTGAGGTTTTTGAAGATGGTTGCCACCTGTGTTAAATATATATTATATTATAAGTATTATGAGTTATTACAATCAAGGTTTTAATCCGAAGGCTCTTGAACAGGCTTTATTTCTAAGCAACGTATGTATAGCAGGGACTCCACATATTTGAAAATTCAAATTCAACTTCAATCATAGGAATTAACGGTTTAAAAAGTAAAATTCAAAATTTTCAATCATTTCAATGAATTATTACAATATGGGTATCAATCGAAAAGATTTTGAAATGGCTTCATTTCTAAACTACATGTAAATAAGTATGAAAAATAATCACAAGAGAGAGGTTTAAGATAGTTGTAGTTTGAAAATATTTTGAAGAAATTTAAAAAATTTAAAGTCTTCTGATTTTCGCATATTTTAAGTATGTAGAGTTTAATGAAAATAAATTACACCTAATGTAGCATGTAGAAGTCTCACACACTCAGCGAAGCGGGTGAGAGCGATCTAGATTTATATATTTTTTTGTGAAAGATGTTCCGCATTTTTTCATAAAATAATCAGGTTTGTAAAGAAAACTTTTTGAAGCTTTGATGAATCATGGAATTTTTTTTTTTTTGTATAATGTTTCAAACTTAGATTGATTTAACACAAAAATTTAGCTTGGAAAACATTGTGAATATTAAAAAAATTATAATTCGATTAATTTTTATCACCAGAGTACATACAGTCAGTCAATAAAGTTTAGGTACAGCGAAGTTTTAACAAAACCGGCAACTATTTTTTAAATATTTTGTTTTTCTCAAATTTTTTATAAAAACCATAGTTAATTCTAAAACAAAAACCTCAAAAATCAGAGTTCCAAACCTTATGCAAAAGTATAGAAAATTCCGAAAATTTTCATCCAGTTATTGCACTTCTTTTTTCAAAAAGGTTGAGTACGCAGTTTCTTAGCCCATTCCATATTAGTGCAAGTTTCAGGTAACTAGGACTTACCATTGATTTTTAGCAACTTTTTTTGTTGAAGGTATCGCTCATTTTCCCATATAAATTAATGTTTGATAATTTTTTTATATGGAAAAAATGCGCAACACCTTTAACAAAAAAATTTCCCAAAAATCAATGATAAGTCCTAGCTTCCTCATACTAAAATTGAATGGGATAAAAAAATGCATACTCAACATTTTTTCTAGAGAGCGTAAATAAAAAATGCAATATTTGATTGAAATTTTGCAGAATTTTCTTTAATTTTGCACAAGGTTTGGAACTCTGATTTTTGGGCTTTTCTTGTAGGATTATCCATATTTTTATACAAAATTAGCTAATAATAAAAAATTTAAAAAATAGTTGCTCATATTGTAATAACTTCGCTGTACCCAAACTTTATTGACTGACTGTAAGTTACCGTAGCCAAATTAAAAATATCCTTTGGCCAAATTATCCTAAAAGTCTAACTTCTTCAAAATGCTTCTATTATTAAGGAGGGACAAGGAGATGCTAATGATATTTGGCGAGTTCATTTGGTTGATCAAAAACTAAATGCGAGTATTAAAACCGTTACAACACAGTTTTTGTTAATACATTACCTACAAAACTGCGCACTGACTGCGAGCGGAAGGCAACTACCCAAATGGGGATTTGAGCAGCAGGAAGTTTCCTGCAACCTCAACATAAGGGATCAGAATGCTTATTGGAATGTCGAAGATAACCTTAACAAAAAATGTAAGTAGTTCAAAAGATCATACTTATTTATATACAAATAATTAAACCTTCATATCTGTATAATCCCCACTAAAACTTAATACATTCAGAGAAAAATTTAAAGTTTGTGTTTACATATAATTTCAGTACCGAGTATCAATTTAAATATGTATGCACCGGGGTTTATTTCTCGTTTAATGGAATCTCACGCAGTCATGTTTCAAGGAAACGCTGGACTTAAACCGAAGGAAGGCGAACTAACTAGCAAGCCTTGGCAATGGCCAATTAATTACCGGGTAAGGTCATACTCACTGATAGAAATTGCCTACGACCTATTAGTTGTTTATATCAATTTGAATGACGTCCAATATAACACATTACGCAAACGTCAAAGCTGTGAAGTTGTGCGTTCTTGTGCTCTGATTTAATTTGTTATTTTTAAAACGTTTTTGCATTAAATAAAGTAAAAATCACACAAGTAATTTTTAAGCAAAAAAAACCCCGACTTCAATTCTCAGATAAAAATTGAAGAGCACAGTTAATTTCTACATGATCTAGTGATCGGATCTAAACCAAATTAGTATGGGACCACCTCTGAGGTATCACCTCTCCGCTGAAAATTTATAGAGATCGGTTAACGTGGTCCAAAGTTACGTGGTAACATACATGAAAAATAAAAATATTCCGACGAATTGATAACCTCCTCATTTTTTTGAAGTCGGGTAAAAAACAAAAACGGCTTCAATTCTCATACATAAGTTTAAAAGTACCATTAATTTCTTCATGATCCAATTATTGGATCTAAAGCAAATTATTATGGGAGCACCTCAGTAGTACCATACCTCAGTAAAAATAATTATAGAAATCGGTTAAAGTAGTCCAAAGTTATGCGATAACATATATAAAATAATTAATCCGACGGTTTGATAACATCCTCCTTTTTTTGAAGTCAGTTAAAAAAGTGTCAAGAAATTTTGGTGCATAATTAAAGATAAGTAAAATATCAAAATTTCTTACGTATTCGATCAATTGAACTTAATATTCTTTATTGTATATGCAAAGTCTTTTGTTTCATATATATATGTATGTAATATATTGCGATTGTCAATTGATTTCGCTGCAATTCACACTGATACATATGGTTGCTGGGTTTTGTTAATAATTCTATTTTTAGAATATTTAACTTTTTAGGTGTGCTCATCCTTAAGTAATTTTATTTTTTTATTTATGGCCTTATAACAATCATATTCAACCATTTTTTGAGCTTGAGTCCGTTTTTAATGAAAAACTATTGTGGAAAAGTAACAATAATTTATAAAAATGGTAGAAGTGATAGCTATTTAGGAGATGACCAAATATCATCAGACTTCTCCAGTGGGATTCGATCCAACGACCCTAGCTCACTCAGGCAGTTGCCTACGCACTTATAAATTGTTGTTGCTTTTTCCACTTTTTTCATATGAGCCAACTACAGTCAAACGCAGGTGTTCCGCTGCAATTCACACTTGATTACGTGGTTGTTGGTTTTATTGATTTCTGTTAATAGTTCAATTTTTAGAATATTTATCTTTTTTGTTTTTTGTTATTTATGGCCTTATAACAATTACTTGTGAACCTGCATGGCGTTAAGACGCCCAAAATTAAATCTTAAAATCCTAAAGAATATTTCAAATGTTGGTCAGAGCGATCCAAGTACCATATTTAATCTAAATCCATGCAGCCGTTTCTGAGTGCAGAGAGGCCTCGCATAGTGCAGGTGCTTAATTTCATTAAATTTCAAATCACCCTATATCGAAAAAATTAAAAAAATAAAACTTTATCGCACATTTTTAATATCACTTTTAATTTTTAAATTTGAAAGAACGGTTTAAATCTTATGACTATCACACAAAAATTACTTCTCGTATAATTACGGTGACCATATTAACTAACGTAAAATAAAGGACATTTTTTTCAAAATGATTTGGGAATACGTACATACAACATGTATGATAAAGTACTTTACCCATATCGTAATTTAAATCAAATATTTACCAGTTAATTATATTATTTAATTGTACAAGTTCCCCTGCTGTAGCGAAAAATGAAGCCAAATCCTTTTTAAGGACTTCGTCACCCTTTGCTACCAAAATGCGTTTACCATAATTCATACTGCACGACGAAGCCAGCACAGAGTGGTTCAAAATTAGAATTTAATGTTCATAATTCACCCGAGCCTTCATTTTAAACCAATTTTTACTAAAAACCAAAAAAATAGTTATTCTTGTGAACATTTTTTATAACATTTCAAAGTTTTTTTTGTGTAATTTTTTTCGTTTTGGGAGAACCATACAACTGTTTTCAACTAGTTTTTGTTATGTGACATTTATTAACTGGAACAGGAGAATACATTTTCTTCAAAATTGCTACTTTTTTGCATTTTGCACTAAAAAATTTAATATAATCAAATAAAAATTCACACATCAGGCTCTACTGGTCCCTAGCAAATAATGTAAAAAAAATAAAAATTAATCAAATTAAGGGAAAAATGAAGTCTCCAGTGAATTACGAACACTAGATGCCAGTTTTGAACCACTGTGCAGCAGGGGGTTTATTGTTTTCTTTCAATGGAACTGGAAACTCAGCGCGCAACACGATCCTCCTTTATAGATTGTACAAAGATTACTGATTATATATAAACCCTTAGATGGGAGCGAAACAAACTGGCGAAGGTTTTCATTATATTTTGTAAGGGACATTTTTATTTTTCATATTCTGTGTTTAAAAATTTACCTATGTATGTAGAGCTGATTTAGAGGACAGTTCAAGAAATAGAGGACAAAAGGCGTCCTTTATTTTGAAAAAAATTATAAAGGACAGGGGGTTAAAATAAAGGACTGTCCTTTAAAATAAAGGACGGATGGTCACCGTACGTATAATATAACTAAATGTGTATGTACTTCGTTAGATCGGTATGATTTTGCGAAAAAATGGCCAGCCTTGAGGTTAAGTTGAGAACTCAGGTATTTCTCAAATCTCCAACGTTGTTTTTCAACAGTATCTCAAGTGGAGGATCATAGCGTTCCCAACAAAAAGGGAATTTTCTTTGTATGAAAAAAAGGACTGTTTCTCAAGTTGAGAAAAAGCTAGTTCTCAACGTGAACTACAATGTGATTCTCCAATTGGTCTCAAACATATCACTGAAATACTGAAATCAAAATAGTAAAATAACACTGTGATATTTTTTTTCAAACATTTTCAAAGACATACCCAAAGAAGACTGTTTCACCCTACCTTGAATATGAGGAATCGAACTGCACCACTAGTTTTTTAAGTTTCCTTCACGCCTTCATACAACTTTTTATTTTGAAAGTTTTGCATCCACTGGAAATTTTTCAAGTGTTATACCCATTAGCGCACACAAGGGGTGGGTTTTGGGGTTCAAACCCCCCCTAAAGCTAAAACCGCAAATACTTTAAAGCTTAGAATCCCGCTCTCAAGAAAAATCACAAGAAATATTTTTTATTATTCTGTTGCTTGAACAAGCACTTTGCTTTTGCTGTAAATTTTCTAGAAGAAATAAATAAACGAGAATTTTTTTCTTGACAGCTGCAAACTGATTTAAGAAATTTTGATAGAATGAAAACATTGTCCTAAAAATATGCAATGCATACTCTATTAATGTTGTGTTTTACACTTTACAGCCTAAAAGAGTTTACCACTGATATGAACTTAACAAGGATTCGAAGATTTAATTTGCCAACTTCGAATTCGTTCCACCAAAATGAGCTACATACATACATAATAAAAATACAAGTTCAGTTAATTTTTTCCGTATTCGAAATAATGAAAAATGAGTATTTAAGTTTATGCAAATAAAGTGCAATCTATGAAACTTTAAAAAGTAAATTTTAATTATTACATACTGTACATAAAGTTTGCATAAAGCGAATTTTCAGTATTTTCTGGTGATATATCTTTAGAGGTAAAAACCCCTCCCAAAATATATCCCTGGGTGCGCCCCTGGTTATACCCTATTTTGTGGTTTATAACTTTTATATGGTTGGTTTTTTCGGCAAAGTTTCTGTGGAAAAGTTACTCAGAATGTCTTAGGCCTTAACTTTCATGAACTTACCAAACCGTTAACTTAAAAAACTAATGATGCAGTTCGATTCCCCATACCTGAGATATGGTGAAACCGTCTTCTCCGGCCATGTCTTTTTTTGCGGTTATAACAGTGTAATTTATACCTTTTTGATTGAAACATATATAGATAAATTTAAATAAATATTTATTTCTTTATTGCTTTTATAACATGTAGTTAATCAATATCGTATTACAATAATTCACAATCAAGTTTTCAGTCGTCCGTCTAAAGCCCGACAGTAAGTCTACCAATCAATTCACTTCGCGCTTTATTTTATTTAAAGACATTATTTACTTGATGTTGGTAATTTTCCTCTTATATAGCTTCATTTTTTCACTTGATATTTAAAAATTCGTTTCTCTATTACTTTTTACGTATTTACACGTAGATTTTATACTTTCGAATGTATATGTTTTGTCAACGCTGCCACTTGCATGTTTTTGTATATTAAAAGTAGTGCTGCCATGTTAGAGAAAATTGTTTTTCTGAAGTTCATTTCAACTTCCAGTACAAAGTTAGAGATAAGTAGGAGAATGCTATTGGATATCAACTTGAGAACTATGAATTTCTCCAAGGTTGGAGAAATATTTTGTTGGTGTATGTTGGGTCTTTAAAAACTCATTTTACTTATTGAATAATTAAAATTTAACATTTTAAACAGATGGCAACCCTCTTGAAACCCCTCAAAAACATTTTAAATGTTCAAACCGAACATTTTATAACACTCTTTCGTTTGACTTAACTAAGTTAGACCTTTTAAACAGGTGGAAATCCTCTTCAAAACATTTTCAAACTAAAACCTTCGTAAACTCTTTCATCTGACACCCATATTGTAATACCTACTTACATATGTATGTATTTCAATTATCCTTTTGCCTTAATTTGAATTTGATTTATTAAATATATTTCAGAAATAAAGACCTTTCAAACGCATTTCGATTGATACCTATCTTTTAATATATCATCTAGCTTCCTAAATAATTTGAATTAAATTTTTTACACACGTGGCAACTCTCTTCAGGCATTTAAAATGTTCAGATTAAAGATTTCTGAACACTCATTCTTTTGACTCCAGCCTTTTTTTTAAATGTTTGTATCAGTTAATTAAATCTCACCTTTCTCTTCAAAAATATTTTGAAGCTAACATTTTTTAAACTATCCTTCGTCTGA